ATAGTTACATATCGATACAGTAAAATATGGAAAAACGTTTAAGTGTTATTCAAATCTTCATCACTATTTCAAACTAAAAATGAGTATTACTTTCCGTTAGCTACTATGCGCACTTATCAAACAAATGGGTTACTATCAGAAGACTGAAAACGACGATTAATCTAATTTTCACCTCAACTCTCTCAGTAAAACATTCTTGTTATCACAAGGTGTTATTGATTTGAAATAATTTTTCATATTGCAATATTATAAAGTTTCACGCCGGACTCAAACAGATTAGCAAGAAAATAACAACTTTTAGCGTAATTTACTGTCAATGATTAAAAGAAAAAGTATATTGACTGAATTCTGGTAAAATTGAAACATGTTAATGGCTTTTTTTACTTCACCGAATATTCTTATATCAATACCTAAAATTCTATTTAAATGTCTGTCATCACTCTCAGCATGTAGAATTATGCTTGTAACTTTTCTTTTTACTGAACAGTGTCAATATCAATCATAAGATCGTTCTACTCATCGGCATTGACTCATGATAGCGGAATCTACTGTTTCATTGGATCTTCCACTGCCAATTACTATTATGAAGCGATACAAATTAACATAACCACAATTGGTCAGTATAATACAGCAAGTCAGAATTTTATTGACACATATGGATATATGTACGAGAATAGTTTAAATGCATCCAAACCTTGGTTGAATTTACTTGCACAAAGTGATGAAAGTGACTGCGATGGGCAGTTTAAAATCAATATCTTTATTCAAATACCGGAAACATTCGTATTGATTGTGACAACATACTCCCCTAATGTAACGGGAGCATTTTCAATCGTCACAGATGGTCCAAGCCCTGCCAATTTTCTTTAATAGACAATTAATACGAATATATTTTAGATAAAAACTGAATCTATTCTTTTAATTTTTGTTTTTTTTTTAGTTAAAGGCTTGTGCTTTTCAATCAGAAGCTTTTATTTCAAAATGTATGAAAATATTTTTGAGATTCTTTATCTGTATGTAATTTAATAACCATCGATATCTTATCCAATCTGTCCTAATTTTCTTTTTCTCTCATGCATATTTATATTAAAAATAATATTATATTGATAAGTCTCAAACGGTAAAGCTCTTTTCTATCGATGGTACATCGCGGAAGTATTTCTCAGTGATTATCATTCGTTTTCAACACCTATTTTTATCGCTTTAGAAAATATTTAGAATAATCATCTATTCATCACAGCGATTTGTTCATATCAAGCAATCGTTCGATTTGTGAATATATTCTGTTTATCATAGAGTGATGTAGATGTGTAATCTCCTTACCCGCATGCTCTGAGCCTCAAATAGTTTGAACCAAACATTACTCATAGCGTCTCATCAATCTAGTATTTATTCTATCCTACTCTCTCACCGTGTTAGACTTCAATTGATCTTTTCCTTCCTTCTTCTTCCTTCTCTTAATTTCTGGCTCTATTGATCGATCAAAGGGTACTAAATTACGAACTTCTTTCTCGCTTCTATTCAACGGTTGGTACATCACAGATGAATACATTCTCTTCTTTTTGCTCAAATTTCCCTATATACACTGGTTAGCATCAATCACTTGTAATTCACTCTCTATCAAATTATGTGCATTTAGACAAAGTCAACATCACACATTAGTTTGGGAGTAGGTGGGAAAATACAGATTCACACCAACTCCCAAGTCGTGTGTGTGTGTGATCGTTTTATATTCGACCACACCCATCTATTTTTCTCATGGCCGAAAGCATGATTCCTAATGAAGAAGCTGTTCGACAGTTTCTGTCACGAAAGTTCAACACACCAAAATCTTACGCTCTACAAAAGATAAACTAGCAGTTTTCCACAAATCTATCGATACTCGGGGTATGGGTGTGCGTGGTTGTGGTTGTGGCTGTGGCTGTGCGTCTTCTATTTACCAATAACCCACATCCATATCCATACGCTAAGTTTAAAATGCAAATGTTGAAAAATATACTTTAACTTTTATTTTTTTTACAGTTCAAATTTAAAGTATCACCTCTAGTCTCGACAAGTAGAAAACTCTGCATGCAAATTCTATGACCAGATCTATTAGATTACGTAAAGAACCAACGATGAATATAATTTCCATCGAGGATACACTCTGAAATGTGTTATTTCATTTTTGTGAATGATTGATTTGTAATAAGTGAAACTTTACTCATATATTTTATAATGAATAATAAATGAATTGAATTGTTCATAAGAGCGGAATATAATTGCAAAGACAACCATCAACTTCATTAGCACATAATCTTATATCGAAACTGTAACTGTAATTGAAACATGCGAATAAAAAGATATTCTCTTACATACAGCTATCTATTGGAAAATTTCGTAAATATAGAAGACATTAATTCATTAAAAGTACATTTACGATTTAATATGATTCTTAAGCTAATCAAACGCTATTACCAAACGTATACTTCTCAATGTCAACACCATTTACCATTTGGTAACGAATCCTTTTCCAATTAAAAAGTATATATTTTCTCTTTCGATTAAGATAAATTTAATTTCGATAAGCTTTTCTATTGATAGTACATTTGTGACTCTTCTATTAATCATCTAAAAGAAAATGTATGGAAAACTAAAAATATTGTTGAATCAGATTCGAACATACATTTAGGATTCGCTTTGTTCGTAGTCGTCTAGAGAAAGTGTTCCTGTTTTTGTTTGTTTCCATATTACAAGCAAAAAGCCTATTCGAGTTATGCTCCAATCCTAAAGATTAAATCGGTTCGTTTTCTTTTTGAGAAATGTGGGGCGATATACAGATATAGGTTTCTATTGGACATTTAAACGATATCCTGCTCGAACCGTTAGAAGCTATTCGCATTGGCAAAGCGTCGAAACCTTGCTATTGTGTGGCTATGAGAACGAAGAACAGCTGGAGTTAATTCTAAGAGTATACATAACGGTGCATCTCATTTTATTCATTCATTTCCTTTTGCAGATGACTGACATAAAACACATCTGTCTTTTTCTCATCGTTGCAACCGTTCGTAGTGATGTCCCATTGCCGAGCATTCACGTCGATCCAAACACACAGCATTTCATCGACGAATTTCGTCAAGTACGCATCTTTCACGGCGTCAATGTAGTCTACAAATTGCTACCCTTTCTACCCTACCTAACTACATTCGATCCACAAAACTCATTGACCAATGAAGATTTGGACAATCTTCACAAATGGGGCTTTAACGTCATTAGATTCTATACTTCTTGGATGGGTGTCAATCCAAAATTGCCGAATGAAGTCGATCATAATTATCTCTCGCAGCTGTCGACTGCCATATCAATGATGGAAAACAAGGGCATTTATGCCTTGCTCGACTACCATCAAGATGTTTTTTAATGATTCTTCTGCGGTGAAGGCGTTCCTGATTGGGTAGCCAGGAATTTAGGTACAGATATTCTCAAAGAATTTCCATTCTCTTTTGCAGTGAATTCTACATGAGTACCGAATACAGGATATCCAGTACTCGATCAATGCATAAAACATCCCTTTACGCAATATTATTTTACTCAAGGGGTGATCAATGGTTTCAAGATACTGTAAGATCATTGACTATGCATTTAAACAATTTCAACTCAGTAATTTTTTTATGAACTAGGTATACAGATGGCAATTGTACTCTCGAAGCGTTTGATTCATTCTGACGTATAGTAGCTAGTTATTTTGCTGATCGGTCATCAGTTTTCGGTTATGAGCTCATATATGCACCATCATTTCCGGCACTAGCAGATATCTTACAATTGGGTTTAGTCGATCGAGTGTATCTTGCTCCGATGTACAAAAAGTTGCACGAAGTGATTCGCAAAGTCGATGACAAGCATCTGATCTTTTTCGAGCCATGCATCTTTGACATATTCATGACCGGTCTCACTGAAGGGTCAGGTGGTGAAGAATATAACAATCGTCAAGTGTTTAGCTATCATAATTACTGTTTTGATGTGACGAAACAAGGTGATCCGAAATCGGATCTCGTCTGCGAATTCTCCGATGATTACATGATCAATATTCGTGTGTATGACGCATTCCAAAAGCGGTTTGGCGGTATGATGATGACTCAATTCGGTGCAGTCAGTAACTCGACAAAAGGTATTGATGAGGGGTGTGGGTGTGGGTGTGGGTGTGGGTATGAGTGTGGGTATGGGTGTGGGTGTGGGTGTGAGTGTGAGTGTGGGTGTGGGTGTGAGTGTGGGTGTGGGTGAGGGTGTGGGTGTGGGTGAGNAGCCTTTTTGCACATTCTCAAGCACAAATATAGACAACTTTTTAGCATTAATTTTCAAAAATATCGTTAAGCAACAAATTTTTCTTAGAAACTCATACCGGTGAAATTCCGGTTTCATCCGGCCAGGTTGACTTTTTCAACCGGTCCGGTCCGGGCCGGCCGGACCGGTTCCAGCTCTGGTTTGAATTACAGATAGAAACTAATAACTGTCGGTTTCAATACGATTCTAGAAAATGAAAGATCTGACTTCAATTGAAATATAGTCATCTTTGCAAGTACAACAACATAACAGTCAAAAAAAAACTGCAAAAATATTAAATTAACAATGAATTCAATATTTATATCATTCATAATCTATTCTATATCTTCATCGTGTTTTCTGACATGAACATTAGTAGACATACTATTGAAAAAAATTGAATCTTGTAATTTGAAACTAACCCTATGTTCATTGTAGAGAATTTTGACGAATAATTAGTTGGTAAAGAAAATATTAGTTTGTTTTATTATTCTGTCTCGGAAATATATGACATGAAAAAATGATAATTTTCGAGAAATAAAATTTTCTTTAGAAGTCTTTCCTCTTTTTTTGCACACAAAATACATTTCAGAAATATTTTTTTTGTGTGACATATATCAACAAAAATATTTACTACTCTATTTGTGTTGTTATTTTTATCAATAGTTCTTATGATATTATCATCAGGGTTAGAGTGTTTGTTAAATAATTATTCTTACTTTTGAATAATCTTCTGAAAGAATTTTCATTTGTATACATTCATTATCAAAACATCGTTCAAATTTTAATGATAATTCATTAACATCATAACAACGAACACGTGGTTTATACGAGCCTAATAATAATATTAATATTTATGAATTATTTTTTTATTTTTTTTTATATTACCCGTGACAAATATGTATTGACCATCACGTGTCATTGATATAGAACTACTTAACATTGGCATTTCAAAACCTTGAATAAGTTCAATACGTTGTTTCACATCTAAATATTCGATAGATTAATAAATAAATTTAAAAGAAAAAAATTCGAAAAATAAACAATTAACCGGCTTCTTTCTTCAATTTTTTTCTTTTATCATCCGTAAGCCACTATTAGAAAAAGAAAAGAAATATATATTTATAATAAATAAAATATAATATTATTCAATTTACTTCTGGTACAGCTTTTTGACCACATGTTAAATTATAAACACGAACATCATTAACATTTGTTACCTGCATGTTTAATCTGAAAATAATTATAAAATAAAATTATTTACAAATTATCGTAGCGAAACTCGTTTTCTTCTTAAAATTTATTTTTGATCATATAAAACATTCTGAAAATTTTATTTCTACCAAAAAGATATCTTGACAAAGAGAGACTACCATCCATAGTGTAAGACATATCTATAAACCACTAATGATTATCTGGATAACTTATTCATCATATTGATATCTATTGTTATCATAAACAGAAAATCAGATATGTAAGTTAATGCATTAACCGACGATGAGTGAAAGTTTTTAATGAATTCTTTTTAAAACTTCTTAGTTTTATGAAATGAAAAAGATATCAAATAATGGCAGAGAACGTAATGATAAGAAAGTATATCTAGTATGTATTTTTATGCCACGGCAACGCGATTAGCCCACCGGAGCCTTAGCTGCTGGTCCGCTAACATGTTAACGGTCGCGGTACAGCCATTCGGCTTACATCTCTACAGACAATCAAATCCAATCGTTTGAACTGTGTGAGAAATATATATTTGAACTTTTAAAAAAAGAAAAATATGATAATGTTTTATTGGAAAAGTAAACTGATCTTCAAAACAGAACATATAATCACTGTTATCCCACAATGTCATAGTGCACATCAAAACCAAACATATCATTTCACATGAGGAAGATAAGTCCAAAACAAAAAAAAAAAGTTTTTTTTTTCTTCTAAATTTGTCTCACAACTTTCTGTACATAAAAAACACAAAGATTATACATCGTATATGCATTATTTTATTTAATTTTCATTTGATAATTGTTGTCGTTGTTCAGCTTTAATTTGTGCTTGAATCATAAGAGCTATTTGCCATTGTTTTAATTTAATCATATCAGTTCCATCGGGAATTATATCTGGTTTGACATGATCAAACCATGAACGATATTTAAATGCAATCGAAGGATATTTTAATAGAATAGAATCATAAAACCATTCTGATGATATATTATCCATTCGATAATTATGATTTTCATAGACTAAACAATGAGTATTAAAATAATTAAAAAAAAAAACTTTTTTTTTTTTTTTTTTTTTTTTTTAAACAAAATTTTCCCTATTTCAATATCTTTATTAAAAGCAAATGTTNTAAAATTTATTTGTTTGTTTTAATTTATTTATCAGATTCTATATGACTTCAATCCTTATTACGATAAGACATGATTTATTTTAGCAGACGTTTAATATTTAATACATACTGAATGTTTTTGTATATATTCCACCTTAAGCTTTGCATCGATACTAGAAAAATGATCCAAAACATGATTGATCATTGTTAAAACAATATTTAACATACGATAAGAGCTGGCCACCATGGAAAACTACCTAATTTTGACCAAACAATATCACCTGGTTCATATAGATCAGCACCAATTGAATTTTCATCAACGGAATGTACGGATCTTGTTTTTATTTTAATTGAATTTTGTTTATTTGATTTAGATGTAGTATCCATATCAATTTCATTTGTTGTCGGATTTTCAAATATAAATTGTGGATCTTGTCTTAAACGACGTTGACGTTTTCTAGATGTAGATTCTAAAACTAATATAAAATAATCAAAAAGAAATTTAAAGATAATGTTAAGATTTACCCGAAGGTGATTGTTCTGTAGCCATGAATATTATATCTCAAAAAGAAAATAAAACGATAATCGAAGGTATGAAAATATTCTTTGATTATATGTTCGATCAAAATCAAAAAGTGAAAACTTCTATGTAGACTTCAAAAAACATCGAGTTAAAAATTGAGAGATGAGAGTTTAAAAGATGAATTGAACTGATAACTTAAAATAAAGTTAATCGAATCTCATTCGTCGAGTAAGATATTTACCAACAAAAGTCTTTCATTTTTATAGGACTCTCAAGTTATTAGCACTGAAATCACTAACATCTCTCAGGTTGGCATATTTCGGAACCAAAACTTGTTCATTGGCAGCAATATCTTTTATAGTCATGTAAAACTTGCATCGAATATCATATTGTCACGTCTAGAGATGTGAAGGATCAACTGTAGTCTCGGTTCCCGAACTAAAGATTATAATGAAACTAGCGTGAACCCGTGCATACTGCACGGTTGTTTTCTCCTTTAACATATGACCTCCGACATTTAATTTTTCATCCGGTAACATAAATATACACACTCGATATTATGTATATAGATAGTTAGCTACGGCCTCATACCCTTATATCGCACGGGTTTAGGACAGTTGCTCATCGGGCAGTTGCGCGCGGACACTTGCTCGCTATAACAGTTATATAGGGTCCTATAGCGAGCAACTGTCCTAGCAAGCAAGTGTCCGCGCGCAACTGTCCGGATCCCATATCGCACATATTTTTATAGTCCATGTAACCTTCACCCTTATATCCCTTGTAGTCTTATATTCTTATTGCCTTACTCCCTTCAAGGCTTATGGGTACCCTCATATGGTAGCTCTTGACGACCTATAGATACCCCGATAGAATGACCCTTGAGGACTTATGAGTCTTCCATAAGTAGCCCTTGGGACTTTTCCTTGTAGCCTTATTCGACCTTTAGTCTTTTGACCTGGCACAGAGAAACAGACACTGAACATTTTATATATATAGATATTGTATAGTTCTAAGCAACTTGTCTGATAAATCATATCAATAAGAATATCATTCAAGAGAAATAACCCAAAAAAGTATTATTCTTTCTAGAGTGAAATCGGAACCACTAGAAAAGAAATTACCGAAAGTGGAACTACGACAAAGACAGCTCCGATCCGCTCGAGTCTTATTTCTTTTTTTTTTTGTCAGTACCGAGACCGAAATTAAAAATAACTTCTAAGTTCATTTTTCTCTTAAGAATAAGCTAAACATTATGAGATTTTGATGATTGTCTCATAGTGCAAAAAAAAATATATATATAAAACAAAATACTTTTTGTTTCATCACTATTTCATTTCATAATGAATACAAATTTCTATAATGAAAATCTAAATCTATCCTAATGGAGAAAAAATGAAAATCTAAATCTATCCTAATGAAGAAAAAATGAAAATTCTAATGAAAACTTTGTTCTAAATTCATATGTGCATGTAATAATGTTGCTAATTGCCATTTTTTTAAATCAATTTTATCACTATTTATTGGCATTAATGTTTGTTTAAAATCTTTAAACCATTGTCGATGTTTAAGTATAATTTGTGGATATTTTAATAAAAAATCATAAAAAAAATCATTTTGAACAAATAACATTCGATGATGATAATTCATTAAACCAATATTAATAACATATTGTTCAACATGTAATTGAGCATCAGTTAATGTTAATAATGTATTTAATCGATGATTAATTAATTCATTAACAAGACGAATTTCTTCATAAAGTGTTAATGATGGAATACCTACAATAATAAAATAAATATAAAGTTTTCTTTTATTTTTTTGTATTAAAATCAATTAACAAAAAAAAAAACAAAACCCTTTATCTAGAAAATGACAAATAGCAGTTGTAAGTGATACTGGCGTAGATGATGTTGATGTACTAAATTTTACAATAACGATATCATTATCTAATTCATTTTCTGTTGGTATAAGAAATGATTTTGACTAAAGATAAAACAAAATAAGACAAAATAAAAAAAAAAACTAAAATTATACTTGAATTTTTGATGATTGATCAATTTCATTTGTTTCTTTTCGTATTGAATTAAATGAAAATGTTCTATTAAGTTTTTCATTTGTTATTGATTTATTTGATAATGAATCAGTTATATTATTTGATACTATTCGTTTATTGTTTATAATCGATGATGATGATGATAACATTTTTGTTGGTTTTATTTTACTTTCAAACTATAATAACTTACTTGCGACAGCTGTTCNTTCAGCTCAAACGGATGAAATCTGTGGATTTGCAGGGGGGGAAAACTTTTTGCAAGTTTTTGACCTTGGAGTCTCTGGAAGTCCATGAAGATGATGTCTGGAAAATTTGTGTCTACGACAACTTTTGCTCTACTACTCGAGGTCTATCTATCCTGCAAGTTTCAGGAATTTTCGTTCGGCCGTTTCTCAGAAACGCCGGAAAGGGGGGGGGGGGTCCCCTTAAGTAGAGATTTGCATGACCAAACCTCAATATTTAATTATTAGCTTAAGACTAGACTTCTGTTCTATGGGAGATCAGTGGATTAACATATTACAAGCTGAAAAAGAGTTTGATGATTATGTATAATTGTTAAAATTCAGAATAAATGATATTATTTGGTTTTTTCCGGAATCTAATGCAAGTGTAGATATGTAATTGTTTTAGTATTTATGTCTGTTTGTGATTAACTTCCGGTTACGATCATTAATAAATCTTCTGAAAAACTTTTCTTAAACATTAGTATCTTCAAAATTAGCAATAGATGATTAATAAGCCATAAATTTTTGATAAAATTTCATGAAAACTTTAGGTTTATACACGACTTTGATCTTTATCATAGTCATAATGATAAGAAATCTGATCATGGTGACGTGTAATTGCTTTACAGACTTCTATATTTAATACATACTTAATTTTTTTGTATATATTCCACCTTCAGCATTGCATCGATACTATAAAATGATAAAGAAAAATAATCAATTGTTTTCAAAACAATATTTAACATACGATAAGAGCTGGCCACCATGGAAAACTACCTAATTTTGACCAAACAATATCACCTGGTTCATATAGATCAACATCAGTTGAGTTTTCATCAACGGATTGAACGGATCTTGTTGTAGTTTTTATTGAACTTTGTTTATTTGATTTAGATGTTGTATCCATTTCAATTTCATTTGTTGTCGGATTTTCAAATATAAATTGTGGATCTTGTCTCAAACGACGTTGACGTTTTCTTGGTGTAGATTCGGAAACTAATATAAAATAATAAGAGAAATATAAAGATAATTTTAAAATTTTACCGGTTGATGATTCTTCAGTAGTCATGAATATTATATCTGAAAATAAAACAAAAATAAGTCAGTGTTTAATCGAGTATATGAAAGTATCTTTAGATTATACACGATAGTCATACTAATTTCATCAAAATCAAAGTTTTCAGATTTTGACTTAATGAAACTGCAATATTGTTAGTGTAAAAGAAATACTATGATTTTGTGTTGCATCATCAAAACCAAAAGTCGTAATGATATAAATTTAACCGAAACACTTTAACATCATAGAGTTGAATATTATTAGTTGAAAGTGCAAAAAATGAATTAAACTAACGTTTTAAAATTTGAATTGAAGTTAATCGTGTCTCACTCAACAAGTGCGATATTTACCAACTAAAATCGTCTTTTATTTTCATTTTTATAGGATTCATCAGTTATTAATATTGAAAATAAAAGTTAGAAAAACAATTGACACACAAACTTAGCTCATCAAATCCAATCAATTGTATCTGAAAATCTTCATCTTCAAGTACGATGTACTTTCAACAATAATTTTATCTATAATTAATTTACGAATCAAAAAATGTCAATAGTTCACATGTAATAAATGCTGATTTTCGTTTTTTGTGAAGTTAAATTCTCAATAAAAATAACCGAACCATAATCATGACTTTCTTAAATAACTTAACATCTCAAAAAAGAAATATTTTCCAGTATCATCTAACATTCCTGAAACTACTAATTAGACTAAATATCATATTCCAACTGTCTCATTCTATATTAATCCAAATATTTTCTTATTCGATATGGACAAAATGGTTCCGAAACCAAAATTTTTTCATTGAGATCGATATCTTTTATTATCATACAAAGCTCGCGTCGAATGTCATTTGATCAAAACTAACATTAGTCTCGATCCTGGTCCTACGAGAAAAAAATTATCCCAACCGAACCTTATAAATCATTACCGTAGACGACTGAAAAAGAAGAAAAGACACCTTATTCCTATCCTTATTCGTAGTTTTAGAATCGTTTTTTCTAGACTTGGATCACTAGAAAAGAAGTCACCGATATTGAAAACTATAAAACCTTGGTCCTACAGCACATTTCTAGTTATGACCAAAGTCCTGTGAGACATTATGAAAATAAAATGAGGCAAGACACAAAACAGGATTCTAATCATAACTAGAGTCCGTACGAAAACTTCTGACTTGCAAAGCTCTTGTAGGATTCATATGTTTTAAAGAGATATGAGCAAGACAGTTCCAGTTCAATCGAGACTAATTTCATTTTTGACTGGCACGGGAATAAAAAATGACTTATCTCGCTTATAACTATTCATCATGGCAATTATCCACCGTAAGGATGACTTCTGAGTTCATTTTTCTCTAAAATATAAGCTAAATGTGGTCATACTTCGTCGATTCTCTCATAATGTAAAAAAATATAAAACAAGATACTTTTCGATTTTATCGCTATTTCATTTCATAATGACTAAAAAAAACCTATAATGAAAATCTAAATCTATCTGTTGCAAAAAAAAAAAACTGAAAATTCTAATGAAAACTTTGTTCTAAATCCATATGTGCATGTAATAATGTTGCTAATTGCCATTTTTTTAAGTCAATTTTATCACTATTTATTGGCATTAATGTTTGTTTAAAATCTTTAAACCATTGTCGATGTTTAAGAATAATTTGTGGATATTTTAATAAAAATTCATAGAAAAAATCACTTTGAATAAATAACATTCGATGATTATAATTCATTAAAGCAGTATTAATTACATATTGTTCAACATATAATTGAGCATCGATTAATGTTAATAATGTACCTAATCGATGATTAATTAATTCCTTAACAAGACTAATTTCTTCATAAATTGTTAATGATGGAATACCTAGAATTATAAAATTAAAAATAAATTTTCATCTTTTTTTTTTTTTTTGTTAAAATCAATTAATAAAAAACCTTTATCTAGAAAATGACAAATAGCAGTTGTAAGTGATACAGAAGTAGATGATGTTGGTGCATTTATTTTAATAATAACAACATCATTATCTAATTCATTTACTGTTGGTGTAAGAAATGATTTTGACTAAAGAGAAAAATAATCACATGATAATCAAAACAAAACAAATATACTTGAATTTTTGATGACTGATCGATTTCATTTGTTTCTTTTCGTATTGAATTAAATGAAAATGTTCTTTTAGTTTTTTCATCTGTTATTATTTTATTTGATAATGGATGGGTTGTATTATTTGATACTGTTCGTTTAGTTATAATCGATGGAGAGGATAACATTTGTGTTGATTTTGTTTTACCTTCTGACTACAATAACTTACTTGCAATTGTTGTTCTTCATTGATCGATTTATAGTTGGAAACACGATCAGACAATGCTGCTCGGTCTTTTCCTAAAGATAAAAATAAAATTTTTAACATCATAAATACAGGTGTACGCCAATGTTTTAATCGACAACGGCTGAAATTTTTAAAAATTTTCTTAGTTTCGAGAAATTTTGAAATGAAAAAGTGAAAAAAACAATGGCAGAAAACTTGATAATAAAATCCTCAAAAACTAATTTGGGACATTGAAAGTTTTTAAAATATCAAATATCTATTTTTATGTCGCAGCTCATCCGATTGAATTACAATTCTAAACATAAATTTAATAATTCTATTACCTTGTTGAGGTATTGAATATTTAGTATCAGCTAATAATGGATAAAGCATTTTTTCAAAGACACTTATACGTAAATTAATCGGTAAACCTAAAATTTCATCAGCTTCTTTGATTGCATCTTTCCTATAAATCGAACAAATATAAAATATAACCATTAAGAATAATAATAATAATAAAATATACCATAAAGAATGTAAGTCTTCTGACATTTTTACACTAAATCTTTTTCGTATTTGTTCTTCTCTTCGTTTTGTTGATGCCTTGAAAATTTAAATATTAATCAAAAAATATTTTTACAAAAAAAATCATTACTTGTTCAGCTCGATTTTCTGTATAATTTATAAATTCTTCTAAACCTTTATATGGAAAAAGACAAGCTTGTTGAATCCATGCATGCTAGAAAATTAAATAATAAATATTTTATTCTATATTTAAATATAGATTAATTACTTTGAAATGTGAACCTAAACAATAAACAAAATATTGTTTCTTTGTAGATAATCCAGGTTTTGCTATAATATATCAAATAAATTAAAAATAATCAATTATTAATAAAACACTTACATATTGATTTAACATATTTCCAATTATCTAAAAAACAACCTAGATTTAAAAATCATATTATAAACATCTTTTTTTTCTACTCGAAATAATCAATACCATAAACAAATGACGGCCACCTAGAAAACAAACAGAAATATTCTATTTAAGGAAATTCTAAAATTTATCGAAGAGCGTGCATTCAAGGAATTACGATAGCTATAAGAATTAGTTGATTTTAATTTCTGTTTCAATTTATTTAAAAAAAAATAAACAGAAATATCTTGTTCACATAACTCTCCAATCGTGCTCTCCAGCTAGATTTACTTAAAAATACTTCAGTTTTATTCATGTAAAAAATAAACAACGATAATCAGATTTTTATTGAATTACATCTGATAGTCAATTAGAAGTCTTGACTATAGATGTAAGTACTTCAAAATATAGTAGGCTTCGAAATGAATGGTCTGTCCAGAGAGATTTTACTTTCGGAGTTCGCCAGTCCGAAGACATAAATTTCTTATATGGGTTTTGCAACTCGTAACTGATAACAATCAGAAATCTTTATTATGAGAACGTTTTAAAAGTTTCATTTCGTCAATAAATAAAAGTTCCACAAAAGGAATTCATCAGCAGGCATTTTACTCATAAAAACGTATATTAATAAATGATTCAACTTGTCTCTCATGGTGTTTTTATTTTTTGTAACCATTCAAATTCTCCAACTTTATTCAACTCGCGATCACTATGATCATAAAATTTTTTAAATATTCTCATAACTGCAATAATTGTGAAGTTTCATCGTATCGAAAATCTTTTTATAAAAGAAATATACTTTTAATATAGTGGCGTAACCAGGAAATGACCGGTGCCCGGGCGGTTCCCCACAGTGTTTCAAAAATTTAATTAACAGTAGCCAAAATTTCCATCAAAGAGTGATTAATCCTCACAATTTTTGTTCTCTTAAAAAGAGAGCAGAATATATCCAAGGCTGCGCAAATTAGGAGAAGTAAGAGTGATGACACAACCCAATTTGAACAAATTTTACTGAATGAGCTTCAGAATCTTTCATTTTTNTTCATTAGCATTCGTTAATAGAAATAGATGACTTTGAATATTTTGTATGAATTTCTTTTGAGAGTTCGATATTCATTAACCGTAATCGGATTCTATTGGACCTGTCGTCATATCATACGGGGGTTTCATGCATAAAAATAAATTGATATTATCCTTAAAACGAAATCTCGTACTATAAAACCCAATAAATGAACACAATGCAAATTTCTCCTTGTTTTGATTGAATTGTTCGAAATAGAGTGTGGGTGTGATTGAAAAGAACAACCGCAGCCACGTTCACACCGACGCCCACACCCCACACACACACCCATTTTGATGGCAGGTCAAAGTCAACAAGTGGACAGTATCATGGTCAGAGTTGCCAGATCTTCTGGATTTTTCAACTTTTTCTGGATTTCTTCTGGATTCTGGATTTTTCTGGATTTTAGGATTTTACATAACTCTTTCAAATTGCATATTATTTATTTGTTAATATTCAAAAAAGTTTTTTTATTTGATAGCAGCTCAGTGGCTAATTGCTATGTTTCATTGGTCTACTTAAAAGACCAATTGTATTTAATTCATTCTAACCTATAGATTTTCTTGTGTTTTTTTCAACAATCTTTAAGGAGATAAAAATCTGTATTTTGACTTTATCTTTTTATAACATTTTTAGAATGTCTTCCCAAAGCAGAGAATTGGAAATTTTGGGTGATAAAGAATCATCACAAGAACCACAAACAACATCATCTAAAACTGATAACAAACGTAAAAACAAAACTGAGGAAAAAAAAGGTGTATTTCGATCTGAATGGTTAAATGAATTTCCTTTTTTAAAAGAATATAAACCAGATAAAACTCGAGTGACATGCATGGCATGTAATAATCAATTCAGTGTGCATTATGGTGGTAAAAGTGATGTTCTTCAACATTCAAAAAATAAGCAGCATTTAAAAAATATGCTGACATTTAGTCTTGATCGTCAATTAATTACTAAAACAATGAAACCAAATCGTGAAAAAGATGAAGTTGCTGCTGCAGAAGCTACTCTTGTTTATCATGCGGTTCGTCATGGTATTTCATATCTTGCTCAACAATGCACAAATGACGTATTAAGAATTTTATTTGGTACATCATCTATTGCTAAATCGATTGCATGTGGTAAAACAAAAGCAGCTGCTATTGCAACTGATGTTTTAGCACCATATTTTACAGATCTTGTTTTAAAAGAGATTCAAAATGCTTTTTACTATTCTTTTTCATTTGATGCAAGTAATAATGGTAATTTAAAATTTTTTCCGTTTTGTGTACAATACTTTTCAGATCTTGGAGTAAAGAAAGGTTAGTAATCGAAATTTGTATCTCGATTATACTTAGCATTATATTCGTTTTAGTAATTCTTGACTTTATTGATGATCCAAATGAATCTGCAATTGATATTCATCGAAATGCGAGACAAATTTTGGACAAATATCAGTTAGATATACAAGGTTTAACAACTGTTGGAGCTGATAATGCGAACGTCAATATGGGAGAACATCATAGTGTGTTTTCATTATTTCGTGAAGAAAAACCAAACGTATTAAAAGGTAACTAGAGAAGCGCTTTTTTCTACAATGAATCGAAAACAACTGAATAGAAGGAAATAGGTTGCGTAAAATTAAATCTCAAAATTGGTCGAGACGATTTTTCATTTGTTTTTTAGGATCTTGTTTTAATCATATTTTACACAATGGTGTCAAACATGGACATAAATTGTTAACTATTGACATAGAAAAAAATTTACTAAGTATTTACACTCATTTTTCTCGATCAGCTAAACGAATAGCTGAACTAAAGTCATATTATCAATTTTATGAACAAGATTATATGGTAAGAGAAACTAGCATTCAACTCAGATAGCAATATTCATCACAATTGTAAAATAATTGTTTTGTATATATTTAGGTAATCTTGAAGCATATAAAACTTCGTTGGTTAACATTATATACGTCGATTAACAGATTATTGGAAGTTTTTACACCTGTTAAAGATTATTTTCTAGCTCTTGAAACAGAAAATTGTCCAAAAGAACTTCAAGATTTTTTTTCAAATGAAGAAGGTCATTGTGTTCTTAATTTTTTAGAAAATATCCTTCGGATTATTCAAAAATCAAATTTAAAGTTACAAAGACATTATTTAGCCGCTGTTAGTTTACATCAAATTATAAGTGAATTGAAATTCAATTTACAACAACGAATAAATTCATCATTTTTTGGTGCAAGTTGCAAATTAAAGTTGTCTCGATTACCTACAAGTACAGCTGATAAATTAAAAGCTTCATTTATTCGATTTATTGAACGAGTTATTGAATATATTGATGAATTTTATTTATTAAAAAAGAAGGACAAAAATGGAAATATAATAAAGTCTGAGCGTATTCCTCCATCGATTTTATACGAAGCTATAAGTCCATTTGGTTCATCAACAATTAATGATATTCAATGGGATCATATCACGAAATGTATTGAACTATTTCAAATAGAAAATTTAAATGAAGACGATTTGTTTAATGAATTTACTGATATTCAAGTAATATTTAAGTCTATCCAAGAAAAAAATATTCCATTATACAAACAAATTCAAACATATATTGATCATAAAAATAATCGATCAGCAGCAGCTATAACAAAAACCTCATCAATTATACAAATTGAAGAAGAACAAGAAGATAACAGTAGTGATGATTGTGATGATCCAGACGAAAGCGTTTCAACAGAAAAAATTAGGCCAGATCAATTATGGGCGATGCTTTTATCTGTTAAACCGACACCTTCTCCTAATTTACATAAATTCATTTGCTTTTTATTCTCAATTCCATGTAGTAATGCATACGTTGAAAGTGTTTTTTCAATTATGAAACACTTAAATGATGATAAACGAAATCGTATGTCAACAGAACTTATTCGAGCCGAATTACAAATTCGACTGAACTCTTCATTACGTTGTAGAGAAGTTTATGAATATTTTTTGTCAAAATCAGAATTATTAAAACTTGTTCAATCAAGTGAAAAATATCTATTAAAAAAACAACGTATTAATTAATAGTGAAATTTATAATTTATCATTTCTTATATGTTTATTTTATTATATTTGAAATTTTGATGTCGTTTTTTTTTGTTACATTGAAACATGTACTTTTTGAAGTAATAAATGATTTAATTGAGAACGAGATTTCGAGAAACTTATTTTAGCGGATAAAAATCAACAACTAAAAATCATTCCGGATTTCACAAAAAAAGCTTCTGGAATTTTCCGGATTTTGACATTGGAATTCCGGATTTCTGACTATGACATCTGGCAACACTGGATGTGAGGCTATCCTGCGATAGGATCAAAATTTTCTAGAAAACGTAAGATCTACACGGTAGAGGCCAGAGAGCAAACCACGCCTCTTCAAAGAACTACCGTTCGGTATTTCATTCTAAACAACGCTTCAAATGATTTTATCTCATTCCAACCGTTCTATATTGTTGAGTGCAAATTTATACGAAGCGAAAGTGCAATGTTCACTGATATTCGTATGCGGATACTAAATGAACAAACCGATTTCCTTAATTTTTGATTATCACAGTTTTAGTATATTTCCATGATTTCTTTTTCTTCAGCATGATTTTTTCGTTTTAGATTATGGATGTGACAATACCAATACGGTATTGGGAGTATTCTTATTGTTCGTTATTGGTATTGGCATTCTCAATGCAGAAAGGGTGAGTATAGAAAACAGAAATTCGTCGCTTTGTCCTGCGTCTGATTGGTGCAACAATAGCCAATCGAAATTGAGTTTTTCGAAAAATGGCTTCCTATAGGTAATTTCATGTGGGGAGTTCGAATCTGAGCGCAATTTTTCGAGAACCTCAATTTCTATTGGCTGTTGTTTCATCAATCAGACACTGGACAAAACGACGATTTTCCGTTTTCTATACTCATCGTTTCAGGATTGAGAATGCCAAAGCCAATACCATATTGGTAATGCTACATCCCCTAAGTGGGCATTCTCACCGCTAATCATGCCGAAAAATATGGTATTTCTGTATTGTGAAAATACAAAGAAATATGGAAATGCAGAAATATGCTTTTCCCTTGTTGTGTAACCCCCTCTCGTTTATCTCAAACGAGCGGTAAAATTGTACTCATCTCAATGAGCCGACATGGAGTTGTCAGAGTGCGTGGATGTAGATAAATAGAAGAATCATACACCCACACCCACACCCACACCCTCAAGTATTTTATGTTCGTTGGATAGCCCATCGTTCACTCTATCAATACGCGTAATAAACCTTCTGAACCCGTTGACGGTTGAAACAACAATTCCTGAATACAGAGAAAATCATCCAAAAAGTTTTGGAAAAAACGGGTGCTTTTCAAAATATTTTTACTTTTATACTTCATAACAAGCGCCTGAGAAATTACAAAATATATAGTTTTATAGAGTGCATTTCACTTTATCTTTTGAGATATTGCACGAAACTGTGTCCATTAGATACAGAGAAAATGTCAATATACCAATAGCAAAAGAAAAAAACTTACTTCTGAAGAGGTATCGTTCATGTTTCTCTCATAACTCGTGAAGGACATGATACAGATGGCTAAAAATGTGAATTTATAGGTTTCTTTGTGTGTTCTTTCATTTCCAATAATAAAAATGGCATGTCTCTTAAAAATGCACTCGACGATCAAGACTAGTGCGTACCATTCAAATATTACTCAAGTGCGTTCTAAAACGTATGAGCCATTGTGCAACTGTATGGATCTATACTTTCTTAGAATATCGTATCTCGATGAAAGAAAAAAGATAATCGAAATTTTTTTTCTACCTTGAACGTGTCTGTGCTACCCGTGAATGTAATTGCTGCTAGATGGGGTGATCGGGTAATTGCTCGCCCGAAATCTCCACCTTTCGATGGCACGAACTGAATAACACCTGGTGGAAGTCCAGCTTCTTCGAGAATTTTATAGACCACATAATTGGATAGTACAGCTGTATTGGCTGATTTCCATAGGACCGTATTGCCCATGAGAGCCGGTGATGAAGCAAGATTAGCACCGATGGCAGTAAAGTTGAATGGGGAAACTGCAGCTACAAAACCTTCGAGACCTCGTTGAATATAGGTGTTTTCTGAATCACGAGTGCTTATTGGCGAATAGGAAAGGGCAGATGCGAGATATTGTACGTTGAAGCGCCAGAAATCGATCACTTCACAGGCAGCATCGATTTCGGCTTGGAAAATTGTTTTACCTTGACCGAGCATTGTCGTAGCCAGAAGTCGAGAACGCCATTTTAAATCGGAAGCAAGATCGGCTGCCTAGACGTGAATTTTATGAAAATTCGTATAGAAATGTGTGAGAAAACAAACTTTGAGAAAAATATTGGCTCGTTGTTCGACCGGCATCAGTTCCCAGTTAGATCGATTTTTGACTCCACTCTCAATTGCTCTTTCTAGAAGCGCGGGATCTGCGAGACAATATTCGGCAAGAACGTGTCGATGATCGAATGGAAGGAGTTGTCGTTGAACAGCATTTGTCCAAACTTCTTTCCCATCGACAATACAAGGAATACGATTCAATTTTGATTTGTATTCATTAAGGCTCTCTTCCAATTGTTTGACTTCCTTACTACCACGTCGGTACTCTAGTATAGGCTCGTTTTTGGCCGTATATCGAGTTGAAAATGTTGAAGCCCATCGGCAAAAATATAATCGATACATCTTCAAAATAGATATAAATATAATGCATTACTCCTTCTGTTGTTGAGCAAGAACGACAAATTACTATCTAATTGAAACGGCAGAACCATAACAGTAGTGTTGAAGGAAAAAAAAGAAGAAAAAAGCAATGATGAGTATTCAGGTTGAGATCTGTACATCTAATATGTCATTGTTTAAAAAAGAAACGATAAATTGGAGATCAAATATTGCATCTGTTCGAGGAGAAAAAAATACATACAAATTGAAAGAAAAATCAAGGAGAACATTCAATCTTTAGCAACGTAAAAGATTGGAAAGATGATGCCTCGTTTAACTTTCAGTTAGAAAAAGTGGGTCTGATAGAGAATGTTACAGAGTTGAAAACGATTTGACCGGATCGGATTTTGTCAGCTCATCAACGGAAAATTTCTGCCGCAGTCAGCAATCTTCTTCATTTAGAACGATTTCATTTGTGCTTTTGAATCGACAAAATATGTAAAATCAAATTGGAAATTTGAGATAAAAGGAAACAACATGTGTCAAACAGGTCAACGTACGAGAGGATTTTTTCACTTTACTGACGATTACTTTTCATACTATGCAATCATGCTGCTGCATAATTATTTAATTATGGCTAGTACAGGTCGTACAAAATTTCATTCAGACCTGTAACCTAAAGAGAAACTATTCTAACAAGAATAATCTGACAGGATTATAGTTGTCCTTTTCTATGACGTCCGCTATTTTGCCGATGTCCTTTAAAATTAGAGAAAACGGGAAAACATATATATTCGTACAAATTAGTCAATACTTGAATCAAAATAGCATGATGTTCGCATTGAATATCGTTCAAAATGGCAGGATAAAAATTGATGCCACCTTCACCACAATAGTAACTTCAAAACCTGCACGGAAAGGCAAATAGACGGACGCATTATAAGTTTTAGAGGTCACAGTTGTCTGTCACACAAGCATGGGGTAACAAAGTCAGAACATGACATCTCTTTTGGATAATTTGTAACCTTCACAAATTTGGTCTGTTCGGTTGTTAATGGACCTATCAAGTACAAGCTATTAGAAACATCAAAAACAAGCAATATGAGAACTTCCAAATGATAACTGTCAGAATAGTTTTTAATTTTGAACTCTCATGCTGAATCTTATCTCTCAGTTCTCATCGGCCCTATTTTAATTTTTTTCGAGAATTTTCTTTGAGTTAATAAATTCTATTTAATTTTTAAAGGAATACCAAAAAGGCAAGACGATTCAAAATGCCAATAAATTGTGGATCTAGAGAAATTTGTTCTACTTCCACAGAGTCTAAGAAGTTCAATGGGTTACAGGGAAGATAGAAGCCTGAAAGAGTCTAAGAGACTTCCTTTGATCTCCGTAAAATCTTCTTGGAACCCGTACCTTCTCTCATCCCGGATTTCCTTCGACCACCGAAATTTCTTTAGATTTCCTGGATCTCCTTAGAGCTTCTAAATCCTACAATATATAATAGAATCTTCTCGACTTCATATACTTCGTAGACCCACTGAAACCTTGAAGAGAAAATATTTTGAAAGCTTTCAAACGTGAGGAGAATTTTAAATTAAATTTGTCAAAATAATTTCCGTATTTTGTGTAATTTCTCAATACATTTCTCAGTAGTTTCTCTTACTTCATAGTATTACATTTTTTCAATCAAAAATTCACATTTCTCGTAAATTTTCATTTTCTAAAGCCGCGCATAACTTCTCGGTGTTTGCCTGGCCTGCAATATTTACCATCATCGAACAGGAAAACATGGGTGTGATTTCTTTTCAATACATGGCTGCCGTTGTCATTGAAAGAAAATGGAATATTGGCTTGAATTGTTTCTTGCTGAGTTGATGTTAAATTTGGCAGAAAAAATAATAAAATATCATAAATGTAAGTAAAAATTAGTATAAATGTAGTGTCAAATATTATTTTTAAGCAGATTTTTATGGTAAAAGGTTTAAAACGAATAAATGTGACTGAATTGGGCCGTAGGGTCATAGTTAGAAGTTCTAAACATAGTTTGTGCGGAACTGATCAAGATACAACTATTATAGTAGCTTTAGAATTGTGCTAACAGATTTGAGAGAGATCAGAGATCAACTAATTGAAACTAGAGTGTTGAAATAGATTTTGTCCGAGTTTTTTCAATGACGAGAGGAAGATTGAGGATGTCTAGAGGCAGTTAATAGAGAATGAAAATATATGTTGATATCAGTTGCTTGTCAAATATCAGAGGTATTTCTAATGCACAGTCAAACATACCTGCCTATGAGCGTAGAATGAAAATAGTGCACAGATCTGCGCAAAAAGGTTTTTTAAAGAGATAAGCAGATGTGGTATCCCTTTTGATGATACTCTTTTGAAAGACCATTATCGAATTCGATTTTCATACACAGCTAGTCTTGATCTATTATGCCTCTATTCAAAGCATATAAAGATTTTTCTTTGTCTGACTTTCTCACGAGTAGTGTATGAAACAGAATTAAAACTATTTCGTCTGATACCTGCTTCAGCCGATTATTAGAAATAAGTCAGTTTTACACCTATCCGTTTAGACCGAGCACCATTGTTCGTGTCTTCTCTGTTGTCTTTCATATGTCAATGCTCGACAAAGAGCAATACCTTCACCAATCAATTTCGCTGCCTCGTTATTGAGATCCGATGTAATAATCCATTTTTCTAATCAAATACTCATTTGAACAACCGATCTTAATATAAATATTTTGTTTTGTTTTACCTGATGTAATTGCGACCTCGACCATACTTTCCATAAATTCGTTTTCGATATTCTCATTCATTGTAAAATATTTTCGATCACCATAGACACTAATAATTAATTTTGGTTTGCCATTATAACATCGTTCATTTGTTCGTACAAAGCTTTAATGCCGTTTTTATTCTCACAAGAACAACGCAAAAACTAGATCGAAGTCATGAACAAATACTACTTTATCGCACAAAAATATTAAAGACGATATTTTATTGAAATGGAATGAAGCAAAAAATAAGATTTTCCAAGTCTTTTGTATGGGCTTTGATGTTCCATTCTTCCGGCTTTGGATTTTGGTTTGGAACATCTTCAATCAAACCGTGATGGCGAGTTAGACGCTGACATCCACATTTTTTGCTACACATAGTGTGCTACACGTCTTTACTATAGACTGTGCATTGAGGCCATATAAGTCGTTTCTGTTCAAACAACTTTTTGATAGTGGCTATCTAACGATCCTCCGTCTCGCTACCAGTCATTTGTGAAATTGAAAACTACTAATATGTGTTAAATATGAAAAAAGTCTCTTCTACAATTATCAATTCACTCACCAGTGCTCTGGAGTACAACGATGAATACAATGTGGAAAAGAATTTTGTTTATTTTAAATTGTTGAAAAAGAATCGCTCGTGGTAAAAAGAATACAACAAGTCGTCAAGATAGATTTTTTTTGATCATGTGCTCGACTGGCAAAAGAGAAAAAAAACAGGGAACGAAAAAAGCAATCGATTTTTCTTCATTCATGGATTGTGAAGCACACCATTTCTGAAGTCTTACACGAGTTTTTTTTCTTTGTTTCTTTCTTTTTAAGGTACGAAGCACTTATATAACTGTTCGAAGCGAATTTTCTTTCTTAATGCGGTGCATAGCACGGCATTTGTGAGACTACACTCTGAACTTTTTTGCGTCGGACTCTGATGTCGCAAGATTTTGTGTCACAGATCAACTGCTATTTTCTGTCACGCCATCTTGAAAGTGGCTTTTCTTCGCTCTAAAGAGTGTCCACTAAGTTTTTACCCACATAATCAATATTACTTTTTTTTACATGTTCCTTTAGTGTAATAGGCTGCTATTAACAATATATATATATATTAGATGTTTCTATCTGCCATATGCCAGAAGAGCTTTTCTTACTCTTATTGTTACACGATACAATGAACTTTAGCATTTGATAGAAAATGCCGAGTTAGACGCAGAGAATACCCACACCCTGAGTATCGGCGTGGGTGTTTGGTGCGAACATTTTATTGACACCAATAACTAGAAGCACACCCACCCCACACCCACACCCTCAGCCGCTTCAACGTGTTTCACATTTTAATCCTGCAAGAATCGCATTAGCAGGATTTTAAAGTTGTCTCAAACGAGCGAGACCACAGTTTATATGGAGAAAATTATGGCATACGGATTCTCGGATATTTAATCATTCTCTGCGGAGAGTGAGTGTCAATGAGAGAATTTATTAGCACCTGCACAAATGTACGTCGGCATTCGCATTCTTTCTATTATTTTGTGGTCAGTATAATCCAATGGATTAGGAAAAGATCTTCAAAGTACTAAATGAGTTGATAGATGGAATAAAATATTGCCTATAAAAGAGCATGCCTCAAGATAACAAAGCATCAAACTTCGGAGTAGCTTTTGCACCATTTATTTCTGTTGACGATTTCTGATCGTTTCTTCTTCTCTTGGACATTCTGTTAAGTTTTAATATTTTCTTCTGTCTTGCTCGTGTTAAATAAATATGTTTCCCTTCGTCGAATGAGATTATCTAGCCGCGTTACCTCTTTATCAATGATTAACTATTTGGGCTAACGAAATTTTTTTCATGTCCATCTACTGTCATAAATCGTAGTGTATATTTTACATAGATTCATCAACAAACGTTGCATGTCCTGTAGAAACACTGAATCCGGTTCCGGGAAGATTGATATTGTTTCAAAAGCTGCAAGCCCATGAGAACAGGGATGGCTCAGTCGAACAATAACTCGTTTTTACACTGAAAAAGCAAGATTTTTTTTGTAAAAAAGCAAGTTCGTTGGCATTATTATCATCACATTCGCTTTCTTTCTCAAAGAAATTTTTTCTCAAAACGTAAAAAAACGCACATTTTCAAGTGAAAAAATACGTTTTTTAATTATATTTGTCTGATTGACGGACGAAGAGAAGCTGAACACACACACCATTCCTCCCTCAATTAGGTTTCATAGTTACATGTATGGATGCATCGATGACGATCTTCTTTTACTTTTCGTCATTCAGTGAGCATATAACCTTGGCAAGCAAATGATTTTTGAAATCTTCTTAAATTGATCATCACTGTAGAAACAGTTCTCTAAAAAATATAATTCTGTTCTGATCAAGCTTGAAATTTTCTAGTATTCTGTATATTTATCAGTTGTCTTAGGATTGATTATTTGAATCATAATTCAATTAAAGCAAAGATACCTTCAATAAACTAAGCAACAACAAATGCTTATTTTCAGTATGCCAAAAAACGAAAGACAAGACAATACATAACTATACAGGATACTAGAGAGTTTCAAGCTCTATTAGACTACATAATTGCTTTTTTTCCAAAGAACTATTTATGTAGTGATGGTAGATGTAAGAGGTCAATCAATGAGACACCGACAGAATTCAATTCGTAGGAACCAAGCCGATGAGACTGCCTCCGTTGAATTTGATTTGTGCAGGCGTATATAATAATATGGGAACATCAATATTTTCATTAGGGTTCGTTTTAGAAAGATTTTCTAAGCTTTAAATGGGTGATCCTGGTGTAATCGATGGCACAGAACATCAAGAAACCGATAATTTTCTTTCATGTCAATTCGTTATTGACGGAATAATATATTCATCGTTTGAAAATTATTTTCAATGTGCGAAAACGACCAACGAACAAGATCGAGAAAAGATTTTAAATTCAGGACCAGGCGATTCATATGCATTAGCTGGACAAACGATTCAACTACGATCAGATTGGGAATCGGTTAAAATGGATGAAATGTATAAAGGAAATTTGACAAAATTTCAACAAGATGAAGATTTGACAAAATTTCTATTAGAATCTGGTACAGAACCTGTTGATTTTACAGAATCATCACCTTTTTGGAATCATTGGAATGATCTCATCATGCAAAGAATTCGAGCTGAACTACGTCAAAATGGCGAAGAAGACGCTTCTCGTGCTGCAGAAATTCGTGAAGCAATGGAAAAATATACTCAAGAAAATAAATAACTTCGATTATTCTCTTACTTACGATTTATCGATTTTTTGTTTTAAGAAAAATAAACAAACTAGAATCTAGATCAACTCGAATGATAAAAGATATAACAGGGTACTTCCATGAATAGTAAAATGCAAAGATCTCCGAAAATATTTTTTGGCATATGGTATTTTGTAGTTTTTAGCACGCATACCCTGGAGTCAAAATACTGAAAAGCTGGACACTCTTCTTGGATCACTGACCAAGTTGAAAAAAGTTCTATAAAATACGATAGGCGAAAAAGATTGAAGGCATTTCTGCCTTTTGGGTGTGGGTGCTGATATTCTAATCTCTCACACCCACATCCATACCCACACCTACCCACACCCATCAAACAAGTAACCTATCTCCTCGTAATAATCACCCAAATCGGGATGATTTGAACCAAGATTTCTCTCTCTAATTTCAATTGATTTTTCATGATACCATACTGCTTTAGAAAAATCGCCCAGCTTTCGCTATGCTACACTAAGGTTCTTGTATGTAGCTACCAGCTCTTTACATTTCGTTGATGGAGCTTTTCTCTGAACAGCAAGTGCTTTTTCAAAAAACCAAACTGCTGTCATGTAATCATTGATCTTGCCATGAAGGATACCAATATTGTTGCGGCAAACAGCTATATCCCGATACTCGCTTGGAACAGCTTTTTCTTCAATTTCAAGTGCTTTCTCATGATATGAAACTGCTTTATTGAAGTCCCGAACGTCACGATACACCGATCCTATGTTCTTATAAGTAGTAACCAAGTCGATAGGATTTGTGAATGGAGCTATTTCTTGAATCGCAAGGGCTTTTTCAAAGTACGAAATCGATCTATCGTAATCTTTTATTTTCCCGTACAAGATACCAATCTAATTCGATGCAAGAGCTAAATCCCTATGATTTGATGGATGAAATTCTTCTCGAATTTCAAATGGTTTCTCATAATATGTAACTGCTTTAGTAAAGTTCCCAACATCACGATAAGCTGATCCCATGTTTTTATAAGTAGTTGCTAAGTTCCTAGGGCTCGTGGATAGAGCTGTTTGTTGAATCGCGACAGCTTTTTCAAAGTAGGAAACTGATCTCTCATAATATTTTACTTTCCCGTACAAGATACCAATCTGATTGAACGAAAAAGCTAAATCTCCATGATTTGTTGGAAGAAACTTTTCTTCAATTTCAAATGCTTTCTCATGATATGTGATTGCTTTTGCATCATCGCCCATATTTTCATGTACCGTAGCAATGTTGCGGTACGTCGTGGGTGTGAGAGATTAGAATACCAACACCAATACCCACACCCACACCCACACACCATCTAGTGGATGTAACTTGAGAGACACAATTTCATAGAGTTGTGATAGAGAAAATTGCACGTTTTGAATTTTAAGAAAGAATGATAATAAAAACCATTCTCGATACCAATTCACGTTTTACAAATTAACAATTTTTACATGAGATTCAATCATTTGAATCAACAAATAAGAAGAAAGAGGAATAAGAGCGACCATTGTTTAGAGCTGAATTAATGTTATATGTTACCTCGTTAAGAGAAAAAAAGCAAATATTACAGGTTTGAGAAAAGATAAGGGGAGGGGAACACATTCACCCAAGGGTATACTATATGAAGGGAAAAGAAAGAAAACGAGCAGAAAGGAAAGAAAAAATACTGTTATGTCCCACATATAATTGCTTTCAGGCACACATAAAGGTCCTAATGATAGAGGGAAAAGAGAAAGAAAAAGAGAGAAAATGGTTTAATTCTTCTCCGATTGGCGTGTTATTATTTTTCTGCTTATCTCTGACTCTTTCCAACCAAGACTATAAATACACTAAGGGTGTCAGCTTTTGTATGCCATTTTAAAATAATTGATCGAAGGAGCACATGCCACTATTTCTATTCCTCTTCTTCCTCTTCTGCTTTTTGGGTTGCCAACTTTAAAGAATATTCTCTCTCGTACCCTTTTTTTCTCTTTATCATTGCCAATTAGAGTACTACCCAAGCAAAAATACATGTCGATTTTTGTACTGATTTTCCGTACAAAAGGAACAAACTTTCAGATTTTTGGACCATCTAAATTTAACACCAACTTTCGCATGAAATCTCAATTTTTCATGTACGCTTTCAGCTAAATTTCAGGTTTTAAGTCAAACTTTCTCCAAAATAATTTTAACAAAATAAAAAAAGCGTAAAAATAGCTCAAAAACTTGAAATTTAGCTAAAAAAGTACATAAAAAATTGAGATTTCATGCGAAAGTTCGTGTTAAATTTAGATGCTCCAAAAATCTGAAAGTTTGTTCCTTTTTTACGGAAAATCAGTACAAAAATCGACATGTATGGTTGCTTGGGTTGTGTTTTCAAAAGGTGTGCGTGGATGAATGTAGATTGGCGTGTAGTAGCCATTCATTTACACCCACCCACATTCACACTCAGATCTGCATTTAACTTCCTAGAGAATTAGAACATTTCTCAACGATCTTATTTAGATTACAGTATGAGTTCTAACGCTACTTTGAATCCAGGAGACAATGTGGCTCCGCCGACTGGCAATACTACCATATCGAATTCATGTCAAGGTATGTTTGATGATTTCCTATTTTTGACTTTGGACAATCAACTTTTCTGATGAATGAATTTTATTCGTGTGTCAATCATCGATTTCGTTTACACGTTTCTTCCAATATTTCTCTCATTAAAAGCTCTTTTCCAGTTAGTCATAAGTATAAATCTCGACTGATCGAACAAACCAAATTTTGAGAATACTCAGTCAATTATCAACATGAAATAATAACTGATCGGAGGCAACGAATTGTAATTATTGGCACAAACCTTGCTTGGTTTCGACTAATTGAATGTTTTCCTCTTTTCGACTTCGAAGTTTAGATGGGTTTTCTGTAAAATCTTTCGATTGTTAAAGGATCGATTCATGTGTTGGATGAGAGAAAACATTGAGTAAACTGTGACTCGAATCAGCACAATAATTTTAAAAGATTTTACTTGAAAATAATTGAGAAAAACTGCCGATTAATGAGAACATTGTCACGTACAAATTTAGTATGCAAAGCGTACGAGTCAGACTCATTTCATTTCCCAAGAGACATGACGATGTATTAATTTCTGTCCTCGTATCAATCGCTGGCGAATGATTCGTTTTTACACTATCGTTGGCTATCAATTCACGCAGAATAAAGAGTAGGAGAATGACATGTTATTATGGAGAAAAGTTTGAATCAACATTTTTCTTATATATTTGATTCTATAAGACAGTAAAATTTCACAGCATTCTCTATCATTTCAATAAAATATCTCCTGAGTATTGCATAATATTTGGTGTGAGCAAAGAGTATCTTGATCTTTATACCCACACCCATCTGTCACAATTCGAAGTCTATTCTTGTATAAGAAGAGCTGCAGTTTTATTTTGCTTCCGAATCTCGACATGAGTCTTATTCGAGATATTTTTAGACCAATTTCGGTTCAGTAAAAAATCTAGATCTATATTGTGTCGGACTTGTTTAGGCATTCCGAATCTATCCTTGCTAACAACTCTCAAACAACAGCCACAGCTGTACGATCTTCACACACATTTGCTCGGTATGGGAAACGCAGGTTTTTGGATCGACACTATCCTAATGAATCCGAACATCATGCCGACAAATTCGACCTTTCTCGAGGACAACTCTGTCCGTGAAAATCTGTGCCCTCTTATTTGGTGCGAAGAAAATCAGGATAAGCAGAAAAATAAATTTGGTTTTGTTGATGGTAAGAAAGCGGCAGAATTTTTCTATTACTTGGTTACAAAAAGTGGCCTTCCAAAGGCGACAATGAGTGACTTTGAAGAGGTAATTAATGGTATCCAACGACAGCTCCAGCTTTCGAATTTATCATCATTTGGTAAGGTGATTAATGATCCCAAGCTAAATCAAGAATTACTCCATAGAAAATTGTGCTTCAAAGATAACTTTTCATATGATGTTATTTTGAAATTAGACGATCTATGCAATGGACTTGGGATAAAACAGATGAATAATCATGATTTGAGACAATTAGTAGTTGCCGAAAAGTTGGGTTTCTATTCGTCGCAACCATCAGTAAAATTCAGTGATTGGATTATTTTCAATGCTCGTGAGCAAAAATTCGAAATCGTTTATGGTATTCGAGTTGAAGACCTACGGCATCTCATCCACCATATTGACCCGAATGCGCCCAATGAAGCACGAAGACTCGCACGTGCACATATTATCAATGCTTTTTCGATGTGTGATGCTCAAGGAACACCTGCTCGTCAAGTTGATTTACAGAGCTTTCATGGAAACTTTACACCAAAATTTTATCCACGTCGGTTCGCTCTCAAAGATTCAATCTATCACCAACGGCTTGACGTGCTTCCTGCCCTTATTCTTCATATTATTGAACGTTATCATAGTTGCTTGCCTCCTATCAAATACTGTGAATTCTCTATTAGTGTTAATGATCTCTCTCGGGCATGGATGTTCGACGTACTTCGCAGCTTTCCAGCTGATGATCAGGTGGTTTTGAGCAGTACACAAAATGAAATTTTTCAAGCAGGCGATCAATCCAGCTCTTTTTCAAAAATGGTTTGTAAAAAGCATTTTTCTTATCTTCGAGTCGCTTATAAGGCGCTTGACCAGAAAAACACCAAATTTTGCTGCAAATATGGTGTCAATTACAAGTTTCTGGCCGGTTTTAATAGAGAACAAGTAAAATCCAAACACTTCAAGACACAAGATGAATCTCTCCGCCTATTGACCGACTCTCCGCAAGTTGCAATATTACAAATGGTTTATGAAATTATGCGCAGCTCGAATTTGATGAAAGACAATTTAGATGCATGGGAAATGTTTTCTCCTTTTGTGGATAAACTCAATATGCTGAAGGAAAATATCGAGAAACGGCCATTTTTTAATAATTGGGTGGTCGGACTGGACCTCTTTGGTGATGAGTTAGGATTTCCATATTGCCCATTTGTGGCACGTCCATTCATTGAATACGTCAATGATCGACGAAAGGTTAACAAGCGATTTGGTTTACGTATTCACGGCGGTGAAAATGTTATATTTGCTGATGACGACTCTGCAGCGTATCGATTATTCATCGCTCATATGTATATTGTGTTTCTTTGTCTGAGGTTTCTCCAGAAAGAACTAAAATATGGCATTCGGATCGGCCACGGTATAGCCTTTGAACGCATTCTTGGTAAAAGGATGAATGGATCGAGACATCGAAAATCGTCTATACTCCTGGCAGTAATGGAGCATCATGCACAGTCTCTATTCAAGCAGATCGCTTTCGAAGTAAACATCACTAGCAATGAATATCTGCTCGGGCAAACATTAAGACAAGGAGATTTTGCGCGTACACTTCGTCTCGATGCGTTACTCAGATATAAAATACCTATCATCCTTGCAACCGATGATGACGGAATCTGGCCGATTGATCAATGCTCATTCGTTCATCCTGGTCATCAATCGTTGGCCGCAGAATACTGCCGGGCAATTTCGTCCTCTCTAATTAGTACAGAGGAGCACCTCAAGAACATTCTTAAATTCACAAAGAATTTTTCTTTTTGGAATTCGGAGGAGAATGGAAATGGGAATGCAGAACAAGACACAATCAATCGCCCGCCTGATGGCGATGACGATGATGCTGGTACTATTGTCAATACCATCATCATACATCCAGATGTTATCAGGCGTATCTGTGAGCGATACAATGAACCAAAGGGAAAAAAAACACACTTTAAAGACCGTTGGCAACAATTCTCAAAAGGTGGACAGACCAATGTTAAATGGAAAAATGATGCAAGTGATGCAATGCAACGTGTAGCTTTTATTTCTGCCTGTGTCAATCCTGAAGAAATTGATTCCAAAAGAAACTTAATCAAGGAGGATTATGAAAAGCTATTTGATTCTGATGACTATTTTGAATTCATTTACGAAAATTGGAAAAAAATCCGTAATGAATTCATGTCACTCGATACCGACGGAAATTCTTCGACACTCAGTCATCGAGTTTTTATAGAGAAATCGCCACTTTGGGCATCTATCAACAAGACAGACATGCAAGTGAAGATTCATGCATTTGGACCAAATATGATTAACAACGATAATGTTGAAGAACTCGAACGTTTCGTGAAGTCTTACCCTGGTTGTATTAAAAATATATCTTTAGTCATTTATACGAATAATGATAAAAGCACGTATC